GAGAGAGACTCCCACCATTCCCAGTGAGCTCTCTGCATCCTGTTTGTGAGCCAGGATGTGAGTTCTCAGGTGCTGCTCCGGTGCCATGCCTGCCTGTCTGCCGTCATGCCCCCCCCCCATGATGTGGGTGCTCTTCTATCCCTCCGGAACTGTAAGCACCAAATAAACCCTGCATTCTATAAGTTGCCTTGCTCATGTGTTTTATCACAGCAATACAAAAGTAACTAAGAAATGACTAAGATCTAAGTAAACCCAAGGGTCTCCAACATCAGGAAATTTCAAGGAGTGCAGTGGTATGGGGCATGCAGAGATATTCCTTCTTAGTCAAAGGATAAGTTATTGCACTTGGACCCTCCCCCACCAAGGTGGGCCTATTTGGATTTTGGAAGAAGCACGCTCCTCATTTGGGTGTTTCCAGCCCACATGACAAGTATGATGGCTCTTCTTGCTTGTCAACTTTACTATATCTGGAATCAGCTAAAACCCAGGCTGTCCCAATCCCTCAGGCTCCTCCCTAGCACTGCAACAGAACATGAGCTGAGGCTCCCTTCCCCCCTCTCCACACCTCCTGTGGATCCCACAGACTGTCTCCTCCTGACCCCCGCCCCCCGTCCCCCACTTGTCTCTGCATCCTACCCTCCAACACCATCAGGCATTCCCTGTGAACACTCCAGCCTATTTTCCTAACGTAAAGAAGGAGATGCCTATCAAGGTACAAGATGCATAGAGAACACCAGTAGATTGAACCAGAAAAGAAATCCCCTTGCCACATAATAATCAAAACACTAAATGTACAGAACAGAAAAAGCATATTAAAAGGGGAAAAAAGCAAGTAACATATAAAAGAAGACATATTAGACTCAACAGAGACTCTAAAAGCCAGAAAGGCCTAGACAGATATCCTGTAGATTCTAAGAGACCACAGATGCCAGCACAGACTACAATACCCTGGAAAACTTTCAGTCACCATAAAAGGAGAAAATAAGATATTCCATGATAAAGTCAACTTTAAACATCTGTTTACAAATCCAGCCCCTACAGAAGGTACTAGAAGAAAAACTCCAGCCTAAATAGGTTAACTCCATCCATGAAAACACAGGAAAGAAATAATCTTGCACCAGCAACAAAAGAAGGGAAGCAAGCATGAGCTCACACACACACACACACACACACACACACACACACACACACACACACACACCATCACCACCACTAACAACAACAACAACAAAATAATAGGAATTAACAATCATTGATCATTGCTATCTCTCAATATCAATGGTCTTGACTCCCCAATAAAAAGACATAGACTAATAGAATGGACTTGAAAACAGGAGCCACCCTTTTGCTGCATACCAGAAACACACTTCAACATCAAAGATAGACATTATCTCAGGACCAATGGTTGGAAAAAAATATTCCAAGCAAATGGACATAAGAAGCAATCTGGTGTAGCCATTTTAATATTTAAAAAAATAGACTTCAAATCAAAATCAATCAAAGAGATAGGGAAGGACACTTCACACTCATCAAAGGAAAAGTCCACCAAGATGACATTTTAACTCTAAACATCCATGCCCCAAACACAAGGGTACCCACTCTTGTAAAATAAACAGCTTAAATCACATAATGACCCTCACACGCTGATAGTGGGAGACTTCAATACCCCGCTCTCACCAATGGACAGGTCATCCAAGCAAAAACTCAACAGAAAATGCTGGAGCTAACTGACATTATAAGCCAAATGAACCTACAGATATTTACAGAACATTCCACCCAAACATAAAAGAATATAACTTGTTCTCAGAGCCACAGGGAACTTTCTCCAAAACTGACCACATATTAAGAGACAAAGCAAGTCTC